TGAAAACATTCTGCGGACACGTAGGGTTAACTACCCCATTTCCGGCCTATTAAGTACAACCCGCATTTAGTCTTGCTTAATCTAGCGCAGTTTAGCAACAAACGGAATGTTATTATTACTGATGGCTTCCAAATTTATTTTCCTTTCCGTATGTACCGTAAGATTTAATAAAGAGAAACCAATCGTTGAGATATTTTCAAAATTCTAACACTGCTTCTTGACGCCAAACTCAGCCTACGGATTCTAAACTCGGCCTAACGCATTGAAACGCCATTGAAACGCCAATGAATTCACTTCGGCCTATCGGATGAAGATAAAAATTGATTCGGTTGGAGCGCTCCTTTTGGTTTTGGGAATAATGGGTGCAAACCTTCATATCACGCTTTCTCATTGACTTCGTTCCGTAGCTTATTAACTAAAGTATCGTACCAAACGCATAATTTACTTGTTAACTCTGAAATCATGGATTTATTCGAAGTTTTCTGCTCGATAGACCCAAAATGGGCGATTAGGCTGAAATTGTTCTTTACCCTATATGTGGCTTAGTGTGCGTATGGTAAACGTTAGAAATCTCTATACAATTGATTAAAGTGACTCCCTCTGTGAGTTAGTTTCAGCAGCCGTGGTTGTCATAGCATGCTATGAATTTCTTGCATGCAATGTTGTATAGGGGTGATACACGGCCGCATAATTCAGCTCAATTTTTAGTTTTGTTTACTCAAATTCGCTAAAATCAGAGTTCTTGAGTCCTTTTTGGGTCGTAGGGGAAATGGATGTATGTCGGCCTAAATGCCCCTATTTTGTGCCCATACATAAATTCAGCAATCGACTAAATTTTCAAGAGCGACCAAAAATATCCATCCCAATGACGCGTTCATCTAGATAAAATTGATAACTATTAGTTTTTTAGTGATGGGCCCAATCTTAGATCCATGGCCAACATTAGAGCCATTTCCCCAATGTAACATTAGACAAACGAGGTGTTCTGTTTTGGTGAATTAATTAATTGAAATAATTGTTTCTTTTTCCAACGAGATCGATCATTATTTTAAAATTCCCACTATTATCTTTGGAGTATGAAGAACTTGTTGAGTGTGTTGATTTATTTCCTTTCAATCTTTTGACTGATACTCGTATTTCGCCTACTACTTGCAGACTTTATCAGTGCCAAGTACTCAACACCACTACATGGCACTGATCTCTGCAAGTCTACAAGTAGTGGAAGAAATACACGTATCTGTCAAAAGATAAGCAATTATAACGGAATTAAAAGTAAATAAATCAACACACTCAAAGAACTCTGCCGTATGTGCCAACTGATCAAAACATAGATTCATAGGGTATAGCGCTACTTTGTCGTAATCGCCCATTTCCGTTCTATCGATCAGAAAAGATCAATAATATCAATGATTTCACCGTGCACAAATCAATAATAGGTTTATTCCGATGCGTTAGTTCATTAGTTATAACATAAATCCTATTAGAGCGCCTTGTATGAATTTTTACGCTCATTGTTCTCAAAACAAAAGAACCTAGCGAATCCCCTTTTTCTACGTTTATCCGTAGGATGAAGAAAATCTAATAGCGTTTCAATGCGTTAGGACGGAATTGAAACTCGTAGAACGAATTTAGAATCAAGAAGCAGTGTTAGATTTTAAACCATATCTCGACAATTTGTAACTCTTTATCAAATCCAACGGTATGTATGGAAAGGTAAATAAGTTCCAAAGTCATCTTTGACAGAAAAATTCAAGTTTTTTTTATCAAACCCGTTCAAAAAAGAGAGGTCAAGCGCGGGCTATGCTTAGTAGGACAGAAATTAGATCAAAAACCCTATAACACAAGGTACCTAATTTCTATGGGAGTGTCAATCGTCGTATGTAACAAATTTGACAGAAGCGTAAAACCTGCACTGTTTTTTTCAATCTTCAATGTGAAGCAGTTGTGTGTGGTCCATAAAATGATAAATACGCTTTTTGAGACATTATATTTAATCCGCCAAAAAGGGCAGATTTGAAAAAAAAAAAACAACAGGTCTTATGTACAGGTTTTACGCTTCTGTCAAATTTGTTACAAAGGACGATTGACACGAAGGGCACGCAATACAAAGAACCGGTGCTTTGAAGTTAAAATGCAATCAAAAGTACTTAAAGTAATTAATGCGTTTTGAAGTAGTGCTGACGGTAATTAAAATTATCAATTCGTAATTAATGTAATTAAAAGTATTGGAAATGTAACTAATGTACTTTAATTACTGGAGTTTAAAAGTAGTTAATTGTGAAATTAATGTATTTAAATCAGTATTTAATGGAATTAATTTGATTACATCCGTTGCCTGCATTGGAGTTAAAGGTTATTGCGTGCCCCTAGGATTGACACTCCCATAGAAGTTTGGAGTCGTATTTAATATTCTAAGAGGAAGAGGAGACAACTGGCATCTTACTCTTTTATCTCTACACACTTAGATTTTTTTGCCGAGATGGGCACCACCGAGCAGCTCGGCATTTTATTTTACTGGATCTCGGTGAAAAATTTGCCGAGATTTAGCAAAATTTATGATTGTTAGCTGAGATCTCGGCAAAATTCCCGTTTTTTTTTGCTGAATCCCGGCAAGTTCCAGCAACAGGTTTGTTTACCAAAAAATCTACCCATACCCGTACCTGGCGAGTTCGGGTCGGGTACGGGTATTCAAAAAACTAAATGTTTGTGTTTTGATCGGGTACGGGTATTTAAAAAAAATCCGGTTAAGTTATGGTGGTTTCACCAAACCGATTACGGTGGTTTCGATTTACTGCCCGGTCAAGAAAATCTTACTGGATTGAAATTGTCTCGACTTCCATGGGCTCAACAAACAATTTAGCAGATTAATAGCTGAAAAAGTTTGATTCAAGCTTTTTAAGCCTGAATAAGCTGTTATTAAACTAGAATTGTATGTTGTACATAAAGTGGATGTGCTTGAAACTCTGGTACCTGCGAAAACAGCAGGCCTGGGTTCAATCCCAGTCGGCGCCGCCGGGATGTTCTGAGGCATAACACCTCTGATCACGCCTTCCTTCGGAAGGGAAATAAAGCCGTTGGTCGCTGCTGCTCTCTGGCGTCGGTAGCATTGGTGCTCAGCACGGAAAACAAGATCGACGGAAAACAAATCAAAGGAAAAAAAGAACCGGATTGCAAGATCCCCCCTTACCGTATCGTATTGCGGAATCTATGAAATGGAATTCCGGAATCCCCGAACCGATGCCAATGTGACCATATGCCAAAGGAATCACCACAAATAATCTTTATTGACCTTATTTTATCATGCTATCATGATTTGATATGCAACATGATTATTATACCGCGAATGTTACTGTGGGGTATAAAACCCGATTCCACGGATTTCCTGGAACCAATGCCAAATGGAACCATATGTCATCAGATACACTACAACCTGATTTCATTGATCATAGCTTGTCATCTTGGCATAATATGATAACATAACCTCAATGTAATTATATTCCAACAAACCTTTCGCCGGAATTCACAGATCCGCGTTCCGGAACCGATTATTATTATTATTTAGCTTTATTTAGGAGGCTTTCAGCCTTAGGCTGGGTCGCCTCCAAAGAATATTCCGGAACCGATGCCTAACTGGCCAAAATCATCTCAAATCATCTTCATTCACTTGATTCTACCTATTTGCCATAATGTTACATGCCACAAAATACTTTTGCCTGAGATATTACTATGTCCTACAGAACCATTTTCCGAGACTCCTGGAACCGATAATATCGTAGCACATATCTAAACACAGTCTCAATAATCATATTTCATCTATCTGATATCTTTTGCTGCACCAGACAACCGATTCGCGAGAAAATTTAAAACATTTGGTCAAACTGGTTAGAAAAAACAAAAAAAAAACACAGATATATTTACATCTCGTAAGAACGAAGAGGGTTCTAAGGGGGTTGTACCTACGAGAAAAGTTAGTTCAACTATTCCCCTTGAATAAAAATCCAAGTTTATGAAAATCGGATGAGACATTGCTGAGAACGAGTTTGTTGAAAAAAAAAATCGTTCGTCGTGGTACTTTACGGGTTAATCAAATGGAAGTGGTCCATAATTGTGAGTTATCCATTAACCATTGGTTTTATGGTGGCCTGCCCACCGTTCTTGATACGCGGGTCAACTGTCATAATAAATATTAGTTCACATGCCACACATGATTCTATGAATTAATAGGCTTTTATTGCATTAAACAACAGTATCGTATAATTTGATCTCATGTGTTGCTTTACTGATTTAGTTTGATTAAACAAAAAACTGCTCACTGAAATAAAGAGAAAACGGGATAATTTTCTGTGCCGTAAGTGGGGGGGCAATGGGATAAAAAATCAAAATATTTCGATTTTTTTTTTAATTTTTTATTAATTTAACAATAATGATGTCTTTTTTTCTCTTCACCAATGGCAGCCATTATGGAAGTTTGGGTTGCATTCGGGTGCAAAGCAAACATCCTGAAGCTCAATCTCACCACAGTTTGTTGAGATTTGCAGCTGGTGAGTTTTGTTAGCGTGATATTCCGAGCTGCGATATTACAGCTTGTAATATCAACCGCAGTTGTATGCTTGTTGATTTTTGTCCACGAAAATGAAGCGTGATCTTGTGTTTCGGTGAGATTTGATTTTTTTTAATTTTCACAACACTGGTGAACACACATGCATGTTAAATACAATGCAAATTAATGAATTATTAAATAACTTCTTGTGAAATTAATGTTTAATTGCTGTATATTTCAACTAAGGCCAGAAAATTCATCATTGTGTCTCATGTAAATTTACAAAGCTTTTGCTGTGCAGCTGTTGCATGATAAAATCAGTTTATGAAGAATTAGGTTGTCTGTTTCCACCAGGAACGAATGTTTGAGCAAGTTGTTTAAAAGTTGCCCTCTCCTGTTTGGTTTTTCGGCTATTTAGTCTGAAAAACTGAGGCATTTATGTTTATTTTACAAAAGGGATCTTATTTTATTTCTGCATTTATTAAATATAATTTAAAATTAAAACAGCTAATTACACGTAATTAAAGAGCAGTACAATCTTCCGTCCTGAAAACTATGAGATCACTCCATGTTTGCATAACGTGAAATCATACGATGCTTGAATCAGTGTTGTTTGAAGAATATGTCCAATCAATATTGTTTTTCACTTTAGTAAGTATCACAAAAAGGACGTCTTTTCTATGTTATTAAGCATTCCACTACTTTCTAAAAGCAAATATGTGGAATTCGCCAGATGAAAAGGTTCATCGTAGGCAGGTCACTATATCCGGTTTGAAAATTGCTCGCCAATTACACTATTGCAAACGATAATACTATAGGTCTAGGTGTAGATCTTTGGCATTTGAGTGAGTTGCGGTTTTGAATGTTCAGCTTAGAAACACTTGCGGTGGACAATGGCTGGACCGGATTCATCGTATTCCTGCTTGGAGATCCACATGGCCTGGAAGGTAGACAGCGAGGCGAGAATGGATCCACCAATCCAGACGGAGTATTTACGTTCGGGTGGAGCAATGATCTTGATCTTGATCGAAGACGGAGCCAGAGCGGTGATTTCCTTCTGCATACGATCAGCAATACCTGGGTACATGGTGGTGCCACCAGACAAAACAGTGTTAGCATACAGATCCTTGCGGATATCCACATCGCACTTCATGATCGAGTTATAGACGGTCTCGTGAATACCACAAGACTCCATTCCCAGGAAGGAAGGCTGGAAGAGAGCTTCTGGACAGCGGAAACGCTCGTTGCCGATGGTGATGACCTGACCGTCGGGAAGTTCATAAGACTTCTCAAGGGAGGTGGAAGCAGCAGCGGTGGCCATTTCCTGCTCGAAGTCCAGAGCGACGTAGCACAGCTTTTCCTTGATGTCGCGAACGATTTCACGCTCAGCGGTGGTGGTGAAAGAGTATCCACGCTCAGTCAGGATCTTCATCAGGTAGTCAGTCAGGTCGCGACCAGCCAAGTCCAGACGCAGGATGGCATGAGGCAGAGCATAACCTTCATAGATTGGGACGGTGTGGGAGACACCATCACCGGAATCAAGAACGATACCGGTGGTACGACCGGAGGCATACAGAGAGAGGACAGCCTGGATGGCGACATACATGGCTGGCGAGTTGAAGGTCTCAAACATGATCTGAGTCATCTTCTCGCGGTTGGCCTTGGGGTTCAGAGGGGCTTCAGTCAGCAGGACTGGGTGCTCCTCTGGGGCAACGCGCAGCTCATTGTAGAAGGTGTGATGCCAGATCTTCTCCATGTCATCCCAGTTGGTGATGATACCGTGCTCAATTGGGTACTTCAGGGTGAGGATACCACGCTTGGACTGGGCCTCATCACCGACGTACGAGTCCTTGTTACCCATACCGACCATCACACCCTGGTGGCGTGGGCGACCGACAATAGATGGGAAGACGGCACGTGGTGCATCATCACCAGCGAAACCAGCCTTGCACATTCCGGATCCGTTGTCAACAACGAGCGCAGCAGCATCTTCGTCACACATTTTGGATGATTACTGGTTTTAAGAATTAAACCTGTAAATGAGAAGAATAGTTGGAATATAGTTATATAATCTTAATTGGGATGAGAATATATGATATTAAATAGTACGTGCTGTGAAGAATCAGTAATCTAGGAGATGATATATCCTCCATAAATATTTATTTTTTATTTAAATTTGGGTAAGAATTTCTATGAAATGAAATTTCATGTAAATTTCGGCGATATATAGTGCACACATATTAACGCTTAATTTGACGAAAATTTACACGATATTTCAAGTAAAATGTTGGGAAAATATCGCTAAATAATCAACGAGTGAAAATTTTACGTGACAGTTAAAATTCAGATTTTTTTTCTGTATGGGATTATTTTCAAGAAAATTAATCAAGTTCCTTTTCAAAAAATGCTCTAAGGTGTGATGTATCATGCAACAACAAAATGCATTTTTATTGCTAATCCCATGCTTGGAAAAGGGTCTTGGAGGCAAAAGTTATTCCAGACCCTAGCAAATCATGCTCAACCGATTTTGAAAGTCTTATGTTTATTTCATTTTTCACTGCGAGAAGACATTTGAATTATGTACAAGCTATGAATCGTATTTATTTTTAAACAGAAACTGGTGCTTAGTATGATACAAATCATGATTACCATATCCATGCATGAGGAACCAATTCACAGCTCATTAAAATGTAGTTATGTCTGTCACACTTTGAAAATTGATTATTTGATGGCTATGGCGAAAAATTGTAGCTTGGAAAAGTTGAAACTTATTGGAACTTTTCCCAATCTATTTCACTTTAGCTCTTTACACCACCGTCGGAATTCACTTAGTGGTAGTGACCTTTTATTACTGCCACGTAATATTTTGGCTAAACAATCATCAACAATAATTTTGCATTCCAGACGATAATAGTTCTGAGTTGATTAACTTGGAATTTTCGGAATGAAAATCTTCAAATCACATCAACATTTGCCAAAAATTCTCCAAACTCGGAAAATATTTCTGCAAAGACAACTTTTCTCATAATTTTTGAACTAGTTCTAACCACAATCAGGAATGCAGAAATCCTCCGGATCCAATAAAAAAAAATCACTACATATTTTTATGTTATACAACAGTTCCTTCACAGTTATTCCAAAAATGAACAGGCAAGTATTTTTTGTTGTTGAATTTTATTCTCCTTCAGCACATTACAGTTCATTGACACTTACACAAAAAAGGAACTTCAACCCGTTGGTCTTTTAGCACTTCTCCTCTGTGAAGAAGAACACTTTTGAAACGATGGAGAACGATCGCACTAGAGGCACGTGTCACGGCGAACGATTTCGGAACTAGAATGAATATCGTGGCCGTTGGGTTCAATGTTTATATACGATCCACATGGGATGATCAACCAATTTGGTCATGATTTTCTCACTCTCTCCCAACTTAGTAGTAGTTTCATGTCACCGCGCGAAGAATGGATCGCTCCCGCTCGTGCTAAAATAAACATGACGGGGAGACGGATTTCTCATATTTTTAATTTATCGTCCTTACTCATCCCTAGCTGAGCGGTAGCGATACCTCCGCCGTAGCGCTGGCTGGTGCACCTTTCACGGTTTTTCACTAAGAGCCAAAAACGGTTAGAAGTGACACCGTCGCGTCGTTTGTTGCAAGAAAGCATCATTAGGAAACATTCTATCCGTTATTGTAGGTTAAGGTGTCGGATAGGTATTGCGAATGTAAAATGTACGATTAAATGCATGAGGTTTAAAACATCAAAGATATTGTCACCACGATAAACTGGAGTTTTCCAGTCCAAGTTGTCATTATGTGACAACTGGCGACATAAAAAGATTTAGAGCATTTCCAGCTCAAAACGACTAAAATAAAGGCAGCCCTACTTTTGCTCAATAAAACAGATGCAATTATCCTTAATAAGTAAAAAAAATCTCCTTAAAATAGATCGGGTTGCTCCTTAAATGATTGATAAAAATACGTTAAAAATCTTAAAATGCTCAGTAAATATTTAAAGTACGCTCCCTAAAATAGAGAAAACTGTACATTAACCATTTGAAAATGCTCCTTAGTATGCACCGCTTTGTACCATTTTGAAGTGTAATTGTACCATATATCATCGGAAAAGCTGCTGTAGAAAGGATAATAAGTACCATGAAATCAGCTGAAATGTTCAGTAAATCATTGCGTGCATTTGTGCATTTTTACTGAACATTTCAGCTGATTTCATGGTACTTATTAACCATATATGTAACTTGTAAAATGGGACTTGTAAAATTTTCAAACTGGCGTCTTTGAAATTTTTCATTAAATTGTAATTGTTTATGTAACAATTCTAAAATATGTATTTTATGTAACAATTCTAAAATAATGTTAAGTATTTATAAATCTCAAAATTTCCTGGCGTTAAAAAAAGCTCGTGAAAGATGAAAACTTTTTAAAGTTTAAATTTATGAACGCTTGAAAATTGACTTAAATCGTAGTTTGGTATTTTTTTAAACTTTTTATTCAATTGTTTTTTCATGTAATTTATACTCAGAAAACAATGTTTGAGATATACACAGCAAAAAATAAATTTTAATATTTCATCCAAGAGGATGCACTTCAATCATGTCGAAAATCTTATGATATTTTTATGGCCACAAAAATAAACAAATGCAGTAAAAGAAGCGTAATATCAGTTCATGCACTGTATCCAAATGATAATTTTGTCCTTTTTGGCAAGTATATTACACCATATTTTCGACACAATTGAAGTGCATCCACTTTGTTAAAGTAATTTTATTTTGCTGTGCATTGATTCGTTCTTGATCTAAGATGTTTGTCATTTTTCAAGTGTCCATGGTTTTGAACAAACTTTCAAATTCAGCAGAGAAATGCTTTTTAATTTGTTATGAAAATCCAGATAACCTTCATGGAAGAATCGTGTGTTATTTGCTATTGCCTTCTACGCACATTTTTCAGATGGATCAAGAGTTGAAGACCGTCGCCTATTATAATTTAATCGAATTTAACCTCACATTTGGTACTGACGCAGCATTTGCTTCAACTATAGGAGTAGTCAGAGATTCAAGAGTATAATTAATTTCATCTGTGGTTTGCAAAGAAAGTTGGATCGAATTTATGTTCCATAAATGTTCGCTATTGCTCCCAATCAGCTTAAAGGGTGTCCCACATAAAATTGCATCACTGAAAAACCGCTGTTGAACATTACGATCCGATCCTTTTTAAACTTTCAGACAATAAACTGTAGCCCATTAGTAAGCTTTTGGCATATTTCATTCAACTTCAATACCATAACCGTACGCTTAACTCCACTTATTAGGTTCTGTACAACATCTGGTTGTAATCTCAGGACGCTCCAAGTAGACATATGCTCAAATGGTGAAGGCTGCATCAGCCGTCCAAGATGCAAACCAATTTTCGATTTTGTCAGCTGAAGAATCGGACTCTGAATCATCCGATGAAGGTGATTCTACGGTGTAACACGCCCCTTCAAAAATGGACGGATCCTCAAAAAGAAAATGCCTCTCCCCAAAAGTGCGCCGTAAGAAAACTAAAGTCACCTCCAGAAGATTGGCAAATTCCCAGGGTAATGGGGATGAAAAAACGAAACCGAAGGCTCCTGCTGAACCAATCCCTGGATGCAGCAGGAATTTTCCACCATTGCCCAAAAAAGATAAGAAAAATAATAAAGCTGATCCTCAAGCTTCTCAAAAGAAATCCAAGTCCGAACGAGGTTTGCTAGCTTTTTCGGACATTGTGGAATTCATATTAAATATGTTCAACATACAAGACCCTCTTAGAAGCTTAGTTTCTGCCTTGCTTCCAACATTAGAATCATATCTTAAGCAATTGACTGTTTCATGGCCCTTCCTTGCATCAATCATATCTTTCGATGGATAATTCATCGAACGAGGTTGAAGTAATGATCACTGTGCTACAGTGGAACTGCCGTAGTCTAGTGCCTAAACTAGACTCGTTCAAATTTTTACTTCACAATTCTGATTGTGATATATTTGCTCTCTGTGAAACATGGCTTTCTTCCGATAAAGAACTCAACTTCCACGATTTTAACATTATACGCCTGGATAGAGACGATTCTTATGGAGGAGTACTTTTAGGGATCAAAAAGTGCTACCCTTTCTACAAAATTTCCCTTCCTGCTCTATCAGGCGTCGAAATCGTCGCTTGCCAAATAAATGTGAAGAAAAAAGACCTTTGCATAGCTTCAGTTTATGTTCCACCAAGAACCTTTATTAGCCGTAGTCAACTCTGGAATCTTGATTCTTCGATCCCCAGTATTAATTCTGGGTGATATGAACTCCCATGGTACTGGGTGGGGCGATCTATATGATGACAATAGAGCGGCTATTTTTTACGATTTATGCGACGATTTCAACTTGACTATTTTGAACACTGGTGAAGCGACACGTATAGCAAAACCTCCGGCTCGAGAAAGCCGACTCGACATATCTTTGTGTTCAAGATCGCTATCATTGGATTGTCTGTGGAAGGTTATCAATGATCCCCATGGAAGCGATCATTTGCCAATCATCATTTCAATTCAGTGTGCCCCTCACTCTGCAGAACCATCTCAAGTTCCATTTGATCTTACTAGGAACATAGATTGGCATAAATATGCAACGGCGGTGACAATCGGTGCCGAATCAATAGATACGCTTCCACCATTGGAAGAATATCGATTCCTCGCCGATTTGATGTACAAAAGCTCACTGGAAGCACAAAAAAGAAAAGTTCCAAGTGCGCCCTTCAAAAGGAGACCAGCCACACCTGGATGGGACGAAGAATGCACAAAATTGTATGTAGAAAAATCTGATGCTTTCAAAGCTTTTCGTAGACACAAAACTTCCACATATTTCGAGGAATATTCAAAGCTTGAGACAAAGCTGAAACAATTAGTCAAAGAAAAGAAACGCGGTTATTGGCGCAATTTCGTCGAAGGACTCCGACCGATGGATCGAGGAAGAATACTCCAACCGATGGATATTCGATTTCGCTAAAAAGGTCTGTCCGGACTCAGTTCCAGCACAAAATATTCTTCGAGAAGCGTCTCCTAGCGGCGGCTCTCTGGATAGACTGTTCACAATGCTGGAATTTTCTATGGCTCTTCTTTCATCGAACAACTCCTCACCGGGAAGCGATATGATTAAATTCAATCTTCTGAAAAATCTTCCAGATATTGCTAAAAGACGCTTGCTAGACTTAATCAATTCTTTACTAGAAAACAACATTGTACCGCCTGAATGGAGACAGGTCAAAGTACTAGCCATTCGAAAACCTGGCAAACCAGCGTCTGACCATAACTCATACCGTCCGATTGCGATGCTTTCGTGCATTAGGAATTGTTGGAGAAAATGATCCTTCGGCGACTCGATCAGTGGGTCGAAGCAAATAATTTGCTATCAAATACACAGTTTGGGTTCCGCAAGAGCAAAGGAACAAACGATTGTCTAGCGCTGCTTTCCACAGATATTCAACTGGCCTTTGCGCACAAGGAGCAATTGGCTTCAGTATTCTTGGACATTAAGGGGGCTTTTGATTCAGTTTCCATTGAAATTCTGTCAGACAATCTGCACAGATGTGGACTTTCTGGAATTTTAAATAATTTCTTGTACAATTTGTTGTCAGAAAAGCAAATGAACTTTTCCCTTGGACAACTGACAACTTCCAGAATTAGCTACATGGGCCTGCCAAAAGGCACCTGTCTCAGCCCTCTTCTTTATAACTTTTATGTCAAAGATATCGACAACTGTTTGGCAGAACAATGCACGCTAAGACAACTTGCAGATGACGGTGTGGTATACGTAAGAGGTCCACATACCGTGGACTTGCAAGGACCATTGCAAAGTTCCTTAGATAACTTGTCTTCTTGGGCTAGGAATCTAGGGATCGAATTCTCGCCGCAGAAAACTGAACTGGTTGTGTTTACTCGAAAGCGGTACCAAGCCCAAATGCAGCTTAATCTTTTGGGCAGAAACATTACCCAATCATTGTCTTTCAAGTACCTTGGGGTCTGGTTTGGTTCAAAGTGCACTTGGAATACCCATATTACGTATTTGAAGCAAAAATGTCAACAGAGGATCAACTTTCTCCGTTCAATTTGCGGCACATGGTGGGGTGCTCATCCGGGAGACCTCATAACGCTTTATAAAACAACAATTCTCTTTGTTCTAGAGTACGGCTCTTTCTGCTTTCTCTCGGCAAAAAAATGTCACTTAATAAAATTGGAACGAATTCAATATCGTTGTCTGCGTATTGCTCTTGGCTGTATGCACTCAACGCATAACATGAGTCTCGAGGTTCTGGCAGGAG